CTGGTGTTAAATCCTTGCTGCCCCTCCCGGGAAGTGTCCCAGAAGCGTTTGGGCATCCTCCTGCCCCACATCCCCGGGCACTGTCCCATCCTCCTGTCCCCTGTTGTAATGGGGTTGGGGCAGCCTGCGGGGTGCTCCCGGCAGGGACAGAGCTGGGGGACAAGGGCCGTCAGCCCCCACCCCGCTCGCTGTCACACAGGGGACAACGGTGGCACTTGGGGTGGCCTCGCCGTGCTGCCCAGGTGCTTTTGGGGCACCCACTCCTCTTATCCCACTGCCTCCTGCCCTTTGCATTGCCCTATCCCAAAAGCCAGGCAGGACGGGGGGGCAGATCTCCCCCCAAAAAAAGACCCCCCCCAGCCCCATTTTGCTGTCTGGGGCGGGTTGAGGCTTATGGTTGCTTTTGGGCATCGTGGAAAAGAGGGAAAACAGCTTTATTCAAGCCGTTAATGAAATGTCATTTGCGATTCCCTTCCATGGGCATAACGTGGAGGGCCGGGGGGGGGGGCAGAGCTGCAGCCCCCCCGGTTGCACTGGCTCAGGCAGGGGTGCTGCTGGTTGCATTCGTTCCTTTTTATTTATTTATTTATTTTGGAAGAGGGGGAAATGTTTAAAAGCATCACCACGCGGCCACCCCTTCCCCACGGGGGTCCCGCAGAGCCTCGCTGCCCCCCCCCCCCCACCCTGCACCAAAAGCCTCCCACCCCTTCCCAATTTCTGCACGAGCCGTTAGCGGGTTTCACTAATCTTCCTGTCACTGGGGTACTTGCTGGCAATTGGGAACTAATTAACGTTCATCTCGGCGGCTAATCGCGTCAAAAACCCACTGCCGCGGCCTCGTGAAATAACGGCGGTGCCAGCTTTGGGGGGGGGGGTCCCGATCGAGCTCCCCCAAACCAGGAGGGTCCCCAAAAGCCCAGGGGTGGGCCATGGGGGTGCCATCCTGCCACCACCAGCCCCAGGACCTGGTTTCTGACCTCCTGAGCCTCCCCCCCTCCGGCCAGGGGGATGCGAGGGGTGAGAAGGACGGTGCTGGGGGGTGGTCCTGCTGCATGGGGACGCCTTTAGGAAGCCGGGTGAAAACCCCGTGATGTTTTTGGGGTGCTTCCCCCCTCCTGGAGCAGCAGCGAGCCCACCAAGGCTTGAGGAGCAGGAGGAAGAGTCCTGGCTGCAGCCACACGCCTCTGCTGCCTCCCCACAAAAGGCAGCGTCCACGCAGCCAGGAAAGAGCCCGAGGGCAGGGACAGCCCCGGTGACCTTCAGAGGACACCGAGCAGACGGGACGAGGCCCTGATAGGGCCGGACAGGTACGCCCCGGGGTGCTCCCCACCTGGCTGTGCGCAGCAGAGCCCCCCCAAGAGGCTCCCCAGCAGCCTTCAGCCACGATCAGCTTCAACCCTGCTCGTTGGTTTTGTCCCTTCCAGCGCACGTCAGGGTCCGGAGAGGAGGAAGAAAAAACCCTATAAGGAAAGACCCTATAAGGAAAAACCCTATAAGTAAAAACCCTATAAAGAAAAACCCTACAGGTTTGTACAGTGTGAGCCCTGGTGCTGGATAAAGCCAAGGTGATGGCTGCGCATCCATGTATTTAAATAGTTTGTTTTTTTTGTGGGAGCAGGGCGCACACGTCTCCCTAGTGCCTAATAGGGCTGTCTCCATCAATACGCCCCCAAAAAAAGAGCTTAATTAACTTTGCTTGAGACACTTCCACCTGTCCCTGTGTAAATGTATAGGTGTGTAAACGTGGGCACTCTGCAATGCTCATCTTATCCCCGGGGTGTTTCTGCCCCTCGTGGGGCTGCTGCCAAAATGCAGCCTCTGTAGGGTACGGGGTGGGACGCACCGAGCCGGGTGTCCTGCCTGGATCAGGTTAAAGATTTTAATGGGAATTAGCCAGCGTTGAAGGCAGGACAGGCTCCTCACCTTCCCTCTTCTGTTTTCTTTTTTTTTTTTTTTATTTCCATGCGCCTGGAAGCTTATTAACGAGATGAGAGGCTGGAGCCTAATTAGCAGCAGGACGAGGGAGACATGCTGGAGCTGAGTCAGCGAGCGAGCGGGAGCATCGCCTGGCTGCTTCCAAATGGCCCCAAAATGGCCCCAAAATGTCCTGAAATGGGACAGAGCCGTGCCCCTCGCCCCCTCGCCACGCCGCCCACGGCCCCAGCAAGCATCCCGTAGGGACTAGGAAGAAAACAAAGAAAAATCGCAGCAGGAAAATTTATTAAAGGGAAAAAAAAATCTTTTTTTTTTTTTTTTTTCCCCTTCCTTCTGCCACCCCGTGCCTGCTCGGGAGGTTTTAGGGGCGGACAGACCCGGCAGGACGGGGCCGTGCCTCGGTACCAGGCTGCCCAGGCGCCGCTCCTGTAATTTGCACCTTGTGAAGGCGAGAGCAGGCGTGCGGCGCTGGCTTCATTTGCATTTTTAATTAGCTGGGATCTTGCAGCACCTCTGGGCTCCCCTGCCCTTGCTGGGGCCAGCGGTGGCCGCTTGCTAACGGGGGCGATTTTTGGGGTCGAATGAAGCAGTTTGGTGGCCTGAAGGGCACGGAGAGCCCAGAGGTGGCTCCCAGCCCTCCAGCACCCAGGGCAAGGCACAGGGACCTCGGCTTGGCACCGTCCCCCGTGGCCGTGCCCACCCAGGCTCCTTCCTCCCCACCCTCCTCCTCCTCCTCCACCCCACACCTCCGTCCCCTTTTTCCTCTCCCGCTTCATCATCCCCCTCCTGAACGCAATCCCCCTCTAAAGCTATTAAAACTCAACCTCATTAGCAATAATTAAAAGGTGGAGTGCACGTTCCCAGTAGATCCCGCATCCGGGCTGGGTCATTTTGTGATTTTCTTTTTCTTTTTCCAGACTCCGACACCCGCTGCGACGCCCCGGGAGGTCCCCAGGGTGCCAGCAGGGCAGGGCCATGGGGACAGCTCCGTCCCCTGCCCGCCCCGGGGGGGCTCTGCCTGCAAAATAACAAAGATTTTCCTACAAAGCCAAGCGGCTCCGAAGAGTGATGGGCTGGCTGGCGAGCCCCACTCAGCTTTATGGCGGCCGTAAGTTATAGGCTCCCGGTGAACTGCAGGAAACCCAACCATCACCCTTTATAGGCGAAGCTTCCCGCAGTGTATTAAATCCCCCGGCAAACAGACACGGGGTTTACTGCCCACCGTAACTTTAATGCCTCCAAACCACTCGGTTATTTCGGAGGGATTATGAATAACCGGGGCGGGGGCTGCCAGCGGGGTTGGGCCTGGTGGGGACGAGCCCCTGGGATGCTCGCTCTGCACTGGGATGGCGCTCGGCGGCACTGGGGCCACTGGTGGGAGGGCTCTGCTCCCAGAAAGGCTTCTGCAGCATCCCCTGGGGCCACACATGTGCTGCTGAGCTTTTATTTTATTTTTATTTATTTTATTTTATTTTATTTTATTTTATTTATTTTATTTTATTTTATTTTATTTTATTTTATTTTATTTTATTTTATTTTATTTTATTTTTAATTTTCATTTAATTTAATTTTACTTTTTTTTCCTCTTTTCATCTTTTCCTTTCCTTTCCTTTCCTTTCCTTTCCTTTCCTTTCCTTTCCTTTCCTTTCCTTTCCTTTCCTTTCCTTTCCTTTCCTTTCCTTTCCTTTCCTTTTTTCTTTCATCTTATTTTATCTTATCTTATTATTTTTATTTTATTTATTTTATTTTATTTTATTTTATTTTATTTTATTTATTTTATTTTATTTTATTTTATTATTTTATTTTAATTTTTATTCCCGTTCCACTTCTTGCTCTAAACACTCACAAACTGAACTGGAACCAAACTGGAAACCATGAGAGATCCTCCCCTCTGGGCTCGCTACACCCAGAGCTGGGCCTCCACAGCTGAACTTGGTTACCCAAAGAGGACAGAACAGGAAAAAAAAATCCCATTAATGGCCGAGAAGGAGGGGAAGCCCCACCAGGACAAGCTGTGGGTGCAGAGAGGGGAAGGAGACAGCAGCCCCACAGCCCAGAGTCCCCCATGGGTCCTCCAGCACCCTGAACCACCCCAAAAAAAATCCATCCATGCCCTTCCCCACCCCACCAGCACCACTTTGGGGCTGCTCGCACCCTCCCCGGCCCCCATCCTGCTCATGCCCAGCCGCAAGCACATCACCAATTTTTTTTCGGGGTGATTTTCTCCACAGAGCCCGCCGAGACCTGGCATTTCTCCTCTTCGGAGCCCGGCTGAGCGTTTCTTGGAATTAACCAGCCGTTTTTAAGTTGAAAAATCCATTTTTTGCTCAGAAACGTTTTCAAAACTTTTATTCTTTTAACTAAAATAATAATAATTAAAAAAAAAAAAAGGCAAAACGCCAAGTCTTCCTCTCCCTACCCGCTCCGCGGTGGCCGTCGCGCTACCTGCGGTGCCGCCGGGGGCGAAGGCATCCCCCATCCCTCTGGCAGAGGTGGAAACGGGGCCAGCCGTGCCCACGGCCCTCGTCCCTTCCCAGCAGGGCCCAGCCGTGGTCCCCAGCACCAAAATAGGGACCAGGAGCCCCCCACCTCCCCCTGCCCGGGGAAACTGAGGCACGGGGGCTTTTGGGATGCTCTGCACCGGGCACCGGCCCCGCGTCTCCTCCCTCCTGCTCCCCGGGGATGCCCCCAGGAGGGAAGCGCCTTTGCTCACCCCAAACCCTTCCTGCCCCAAACCCGACACCAGAGGAGAGGAGCCCAGGGGGTCGCTGTCCCCCGGCGGCCCCGGCTCGCTTTCCTTTTTCCTCCCAAAAAATACGCCAGGTTGGGTTTAATTTTTTTTTTTTTTTTTTTTTTTTTTTTTGCAACAAAAGAAACTATTTATTTGGAATATGCATTACCAGTACAAATCAGGAAACTGTAAAACCTACACCTTGTTAGTATCGTCATAGAACATAAAAGTCTCAATTGGGATCAGAAAGACAGAGGCCTTTTTTTTTTCTTTACAGAAGCAGAAAAGCTTAAAGTTTCAAAACCAGGTCGGAACAGAGTCTTTTTTTTTTAGCTTTTTTTTTTTTTTTAATATTTGGAAACCATTAAGAAAAAAAAAAAAAAAGGAAGGGGAAAAATAAAAGAGAAAAGAAAAAGCAAGGCAGAAGAAGTGGATCATCTTTACAAGGGACAGAGAGGGCTTTGCAAGGAGAACAAAAAAAAGGCAAACCAACAAAACCAACCCCCCAGGCAACGTCTGATTTACATCATCTTAATAATAATAATAATAATAATAATAAAGGTGTACGAAAACAAAAGGACTCCAGGAAACCTCGGGATTAAAAAAGAACACCCCAAAACCCTAAACTGTTCGGTGATGTGAGAAGTTAGAGGGATTTTTTTTGGGGGGGGGACACAAGGAGAAGCATCTTCAGGAGGAGATGCCTGCTCCTTGAACGCCTCCTGCAGCTGCACCCATCTGGGGAGATCCGTGGGGAATTTTGGCCGTGTCCCACCCGTGGCTGGGGGCTGCCACGTCCCAGCCCTTGTCCCTTGTCCCTCCCGAAGCCCCCGCGCCGCGGTGGCACCCGAGGGCCCCGTCCCGACCCCACAAAGTGGATGGTGGCAGCGGGGTCGGTGCCTTCGCCGCTCCCCATCCTGTATTTGGGGGGCACGTTGGGCTCTTGCAATCAATGTTTGGAGCCGTGGCATGGCCGGGATTTGGGGCAGAGAGGAAGGGTGCTGCTGACACACACCACCGGAGTTTTGGGGAGGATTCCTGCCTTTTTAATATTTTTAATCCCTTCGGCGCAGCTCAGCACCGCAGCAGCGCCCCAAGGCACGGAGATCTGCATCCCCACGGGGGGCATCTCCTCCCCAAAACCCCCAAAGCGGTGGGGACCAGGCGGAGAAGAGCCCCCCACCCCAAAAAAAAACCCCACCCCCGTCACTTTTCACATCACTCGGCTCCCAGCTCAAAAAAGCAAAAAGGGGAGAGGAAGCTGCAAGGCCATCGTCTCGGACAGGTCAAAATAAAGTCGTCATCATCATCAACCCCCCCTCCCCCCCCAAATAATGCCGAAAATAAAAAAAATAAAATTAAAAAAAAAAAAAAAGGCAATTTCTGGGTCTCAACGTTAAGAAACAGAAAGTGTTAGAATGTACCTATTAATGCTCACTATTCCAACCATTTCCTTTTAAAGTTTTACAAAATGAATTACCGTCACTTTTTTTTGTTTTTTTTTTTCAACATTGTGTAAGAAGAAATGAAGTGTGCACAACTCTACACTTTTCTAGCATTCTTGAACTAATTCACAAATGCGAGAAAATTAAAAACCAAAAAAAAAAAAAATGGGGAAAACGAACCCAAAAAAAAAAAAAACAACAAAAAAAAAAGAAGATGGATGTAGGTAGTCTGATGTTATAAACTATACAGGAATGAAGCGCTTGTTGCCACAGAAAGAGCAGGGCTGGGACCTTCCCCCTGCTCCATTTTGCGTGCTAAGAGGGTCATTTTTTATTCTTTTATTATAAACACTATTAAATTCAGACTGCGTTTTTGGTTTTTTTTTTTTTTTCTTTTTCCTTTATCTGAATATACAAGAACATTCATTATCAAATGTTCGTTATCATCAATACTACAAAGAACGAGACACAAATCGCAAGAAACAATGGAAAATGTTAATAAAGCTGAAAGAATCGTCGAGTTTTTTTTTTGTGTTTTTTTTTCTTTTTTTTTTTCGTTTTTATTTTTTTTTGAGTTTCTGCAGGTTTTTTTTGTTTGTTTTTTGTTTTTTTTTGTTTCATTTTGTTTTGTTTTTTTTTTTTGGTATCGAAGTCAGGTTTTTCTGGGCAGAAAAAAAAAATAAAATAAAAAAGGGGGAAGAAGAAATAAAAAAAAAAAAAAACAAACCACAACACTTTGGGTTGGGGAAAAGGGGGACGGGCTGGGGGCTACAACCGTTCAAATACGAATTAAAAAAAAATAAAAAATAACAAAAAGCAAAGCAAAAAGAAGGCAAAGCCACCACCGGCCAGCTCCGACAACGCAGCCCAGAGGGACGAAGCGGGGTGGGGATGGGGGAAGAAGTACCGTGGAGGAGCGAGGAGCAAGCACCCAGGGACAGGGATAGGGACAGGGACAGGGACAGGGACAGGCAGCCCTGGCAGCGCGCACGGGGCCGGGATTTGGGCTCGTCCCCGGCTGCTTTCCGGGAGGTACCAGAGCTGCTGGGGCCGGCGGTGGCCAGGGCAGGAGGAGAGCGCGGAGATGGGCGCAGTGGGAAGATGGGCAGCACCTGCTGCTGGTAATTTCTGGGGAAAAAACAACCTTCTCCTCGCTGCCTGCTGATTCTCATCGTCCCCCAAAGCAGGTGCAGCACAGGCAGCCCTAAAACCTGGGTTTAGCACTGCAAATGCTGCCTGACACGGGGGAAGGAGGGAGCGCACCGTGCCCGCAGGATGCAGCAGCCTTCGTCCCAGCCAGCCTGCCCCTCTCCCACTCAGGATTCTCTTTTTTTTGGGCTAAATCTCCCAGGACTTGGGGCATTTACTCCCGTCGGGAAGCAGGGAGACAGAGGCTTGCCCTGCCCAAAGCAGCTGGGCTGCGGGGGGCTCGCTGTGGGCTCGGGCTCTGAGGCGCTGCTGTAAGCATCTTCCCGGAGCAGGAGCAGCAAGCACCTCGCCACCAGAGACACAAAAACCAAGCAAGCGGCACATTTCGCAGCTTTTGGCCTGCCTCTCACACCTGTGCTAATCCTGCTCCGATCCCCCCCCAAGAGAACAATCCACCGGCACAAGACTTCCCTGATTTGGGGGAAGGTCGCCTGTTTTTGGAGCCCCGCGGGGCTGCTGCCCGGGGAAAGCCAGGCTTCGACTCCCCAGCACCCGAACCCCACTGAGGAGCAGCCACGCTGCCTCCGTGGGACCAAATCCTGCCTCTGCTGCTTTTATTTTTTTTGATAGGAGGGTGAAAATTGTTCTGGCAGAGCTTGAATTTGGAAAGTTCCCTGCTTGATGCTGCCCTGCGCCCCCCGAATGCCCGCCCGGCCACCTCGTGCTCGCCACAAGCGCCCCCATGGCCAGGAGCATGGCATGGGGTAATTCATCCGAAGCCCCAGGCTCCCTGCAGGAGCCGCCCCCAGGTGTGTTTCAGCGGGACGAAGCCCCGTTTTGCACCCATCGCCAGCTGTCCAAAAAGCAGAGCAGAAAAGCAGGGCAGCAAATCACACGCGCTCTCCCCCGGAGCGCTCTCCGCGGAGTGACCCCAAGCTGCAGGTGAAGGACAGCCCCAAAAGGACGCCCGCTTGGCCTTACAGGGCTTCACCCTGAAGCAAACCCTTTGTATTCATCACTACCAAAGGCACCCGGTGCCTGCGGGGTCCCACTGCTCCGGCCACACACCGACAAATGGTTTTGGGGACCCACAGGGTGCCACCAACCTCTTGGGACCCTGCCTGTGCCAGGGAAACCCCCGTCCTCCATCCCGGTGCCTGCTCGGCTCTGACAGCAGGAGCCAACACCACACCATGCCCTGTTCCACACCAAAACGCCCGCTGCTGGCCTCCCTAGGTGCTGTTTGGGTGCCACCCACGCGTGCTCGGCCACGCAAACCACCGCAGACGCTCGGCGCTTCCGTGACGCGCGAGGGCGATTCCTCACCTGCCTCTGCCTCCTCGCCTTCCCTCCGCTCCTGCCCTTCCCCGACAGCTCCGCAAAGCCAGGGCCCGGCAGGGTTTCACCTCTCGGGGCACACGGGGCCAAGCACACGGAGAGCCACAGCGTGTTTTGGGCTCTGCGGCCGAGCAAAGCGGGGAGAAGGGCGAGCTGGTGGCGGCCGGGGGCCGGGAAGGGGCTGGTACCTTCGGGGAGCACCACGGGGGGAGCGTTGGGCTCCTTCTATGTGCTCGCCACGTCTGGGAGAGGCAGAGGCGAGGGGGGAGCAGGGCAGGGGGCCGCCACGGCGTGTTCCTACTGAGAGGTAGCGTGAGAGGAGCGGGGCTGCCTGCGGGCGAAGGGCTGAGGTTGGTTGGTTTGGCTCCTCGGGAAGACAGCCAGCGCGAGGCCGCGCGCTGCTTCGGGTTGGTTTGGTTGTGGCGGTGCTTGGTTTGTTGTTTGTGTTGGTTTTTTTTTTTGCTTTTCCTCCTGAAAAATCCTTCTACCTGTCGAAATATCCTTCGGAGGGGAGGTGGGGGGGAGGGAGGTGTTGTGGCGGTGGCAAGGGGCAAGGAGGGAGGGGGAGAGGAGAGCGGCTTCTACCCAGAAAAGAAAGGGAAGAGAGTATAAAGAAGTGTCCAGATTGGCTGAAAAAAGCATCCCGACGAAGAGAAGAGAAGAGAAGGAGTCTTCTTGTGTGTGCTGATTGGTTTCACCTCCAGTCTGACTGCTGCGGTGTTAGGAGAGGCCCCCTCCCCTCCCGCCCCCGCCGGGGCCGGCTCAGCCAGGGATGCAATTTGCTGGGAGATCAGTTGGAGGTATCAGAGTGAACGCTGCCAGGGCCTTCTGTGGGGGAGGTCACCGACGACGGGGTAGTAGCGTCTTGCCAACCTCCATTAGCCTGCGGGGAGGGAGACACAGAGCTGTCAGCACCGAGGGCACCCAACGGCACGCCCGGACCCCCCCCCGAAATGCCCACCCCCCTCCCGGCGATGTGATCGGGTGGCGTTAGGGATGGGACACCCCCCAGCTCCGTCATCCCCATCTCATGGTGGCCACCACAGCTCGGGATGGTTTGGGTGGAAATGGGGGTTTTGGTGAATTGTAAGCATTCACGGGAATTCTATCCTTTAAAAAAAAAAAAAAAGGTATTTCTGCCAAAACCCTGTACTCTCTCTTTTTTTTTTTAGGATCCTTCCCCATACAGAAGGAGGAAAATAACAAACAACTTCCATCTCTGAACAGGAAACCCCATCCTGGCACTCCATCCCCTCCTCCTGCACAGCCCAGGCTTCAGCTGGGGGAAGCTGTCAGCAAGGCAGAGAGCTGCTGCCCCCTGCACCCATCCCCAAAAGTCCCCCCGCTGCCACCTGCACGCGTCCCAGGGCACACAGCCCAAATCCTCCGGCCTCTGGAGGGCAGAGCCGGCCGGAGGGCCCCGGCTGCCGCACGCCGGAGCTCACAAAAGCTGCTCCTCCGCGGCTGCCGTCCCCTTCGGAGAGGAGCAGATGTCGCACCCCACCTCCTCTGCTCGCTCTGACATTGATTCAGTGCTCGGCTAATTAATCCTTCCCGACTCCTGCCTGCGCTGAGTCGGCAGCAGCCGCCGGCCCGCTTCAGACGTGCCCGAGCTGCTGCGCCCTCGCCGGCTGCCTGTCCCGGTGCCTCCTGCCGCAGGGCATCCATCACCGGGGCTGACAGCCCCGTAGCAGGGCCCCCGGGGCACACAGAGCTCTGTGCGTGGTGGCAGGGGGCCACAAGGACGTTCTGGGGACGTGCCCACCCCCAAAGTGCCCGGGGGTACGGGTAGGGACCCACACAACCTGCTTGCAGGCTCCCCAAGGGTGCCAGCGCACTGCGCCTTGCAGCAGGGTGCAGGGAACAAAAAGGAAGGCGCAAACCATGACCAGAAGTTGGTGGCGGGTTAGCAACCACCACTCGGCCTCGCCACGGGTGCAAGCGTAAAAAAGAAGCATGCCCAGATGCTCACGGCCTCGTTAAGCACCCTGCAGGTGCCTGCGGAGACACCGGGCTCGCCGTGCCCTCCGTGGCCACCTCGCACCCACGCAGGGGCCCCGGCAGCTCGCACCCGGACCCGCGGCACCCACCCTCCCGCGCCTTGGACCACGGCAAGAGGCAGCAATTACCTGAGATTATCAGCCCGACAGTGACAGGCCGTGTAAAGAGAGACACAGAGCCAACTCCACCGCCCAGAGACTGGCATATTCAAGTACACTTAGGACATTAATAGCAATTTACGTGCCATCAGTGAGCGAGAACCACAATAGCGGCGCTGGCAGCCTCTTATTACCAAGCCTGTTATTTGTTGGAGTTACAAGCTATAATCACAACAGAAACTTTCAAAACCCTTATCTTCCGTGACGCACCAAATCTATTTCAGAGCCGTAATTGCTATGTCACCGGAGAGTTTGCTGCTTAATGCACTCAGATGCCATTTAGTGTTTGCAGGGTCATTACAGCGAGCAGAAGGGGGGAGAGGCGGCGGGGGCTGCTCGGAGCAGGGCTCGGTCCCTATTGTGCTGAACTATTTTTAGAGAGGCGTTTTCATGCCTGCCACGGCTGAGAGGAGCGAGGGGAAGGGGGGAAACGTCTTGAAGACAATGGCTGTGGTGCCGCGATGCTCAGCACCTCTCTCCTGTGCCCCCCCATACGCAGGGAAGCCCCCCCTGTGCTCGAGGTGGGGATCAGCCCTCACCTTTTGCAGGACAGGAGGTTTTGTGCCCTCCAGCGAGCATTTCCCAGTCCCATCCAGTGGGAAGATGCTGACCCATGCTCTTACAGGTCTGGCCATAAAGGTGCCTCCCTCCGCTCACCCCCCTGCTCCCCCAGCCCCCAAATTAGGGGCCAAAAGAGGCCCCGGGGTTGGCCACAACTTCAGCATCTCGATGCCATCCTTTGCTGCACGGCATCTACAAGCTCCCCACGAGGAGGCTGGATCCTTCCCTCTTCTTTCACCCCACTGTCACAGTCAGGAAGCCATGTGCAGGATGAACCCGATCCCACCCAGCTGGCCCAAGGAGATCCCTTGGGATCTGATGAGTAAATCCCTCAAAGAGGGAGGCTGGGGAGGAGGCAGCAGAGCCTGTCCCTGCCCCGGCACGCAGCTGGGACTTCCTCAGGAGGGACAGAGCCAAAGGCAGGGCAGGGCTCTCCGGGACATCTCTCCAAATGTCTCCTTCTGGTGCCAGAGCACGGGCACGGCCTCAGTGGCTGTCCAAGCGGTGGAGCCCCGGTGATGGATTGCTGAAGCAGCGGGTTTTGGGGCTGTTTCCTGCAGGTCTCCCGGCGTTTTTGCTCCAGCAAGTCTGCCTGGCTCTCCGCCTGGGCCTCCTGCATGGGGCTGGTTTTCTGCCAGGTCTTTCAGGAGCTTTCTGCTTGGCACGGAGGCTGTCGCCACGTCCCGCTCTGCGTGACCAAATCCTTGTCCTGCCATGGATGGCATGGGTCAGCCTCCGAACACCCCTCAGAGCACCTTTCCTACAGCAGCTCGTGAGCATCATCGCAGGTCGTGAAGGGTGGCTTGCTTTGGGGCGTAAATTCTTGGAGAAAGGGGGTCTCACCTCCCGCAGCTAGCCTGGTGCTCCTCGCATTCAGCTGGCAGCCGTGGGTGTCAAACCCACTGGCACACAGCTGCTGAGCACTGCCCTCGCGGTGGCTGTGTAAATAGGTAAAATGGCATTTTAAATTAAAAAAAAAATAAAAATCCTGCACAGATGAACTTTAAAAATAGCCTCCCGTATTAAAAGTGATTTATAAACTAGCCTGCTCCATTTTCTTCGCTGGAGGATTAGGGATGGAGGGAACGTGGGGGAGAAGGAAAGAGGGAGCTGGGAGTCCAAAAGGAAATCTCTGCAAGGGCTTTTCTTTAAGATGATTATAAATCATTAATTAAGCAGCAGACTGAGCGGGGTACTCGCAGCAAGCCAGCCTGAATAACAGCGTGTTTACGCGCAGATCCCTGCACAGGAGGACGCGGGTGGGACATCCTCTTTCCAGGTGTCCCCGACAGGGGCTGGGGGATTTAATACAGCGAGACCAGAAGCGGACCCGTTCCTCGCCGGGCTGCTCAGCACCATCTCGGAGAGGCGAGGGGGGCTGTGTGCTCCCATCATCCTGGTAACGATGCAGAACCAGCGCCGGCGGAGCTGTCAGCGGCAAGACGAGGCGGGGAGGGAGCGGGGCTCGGGGTGTATTTCTGTCCTCGGCTGTCACCACGTCCACGCCTTTCAAAATTCAGCCTCCGCCACGGAAGGCGAAACCCTGCCAAGGTTTAGAGCGGTGGAGCCGGGCAACCTGCTGCTGCCTTCCCAGACCTGACGGGCTCCGGGGATGACTTAACCTCAGCCCCGCGCGGAGATCTTTGTGACAGGGCTCTTGACTCGGTTTCGGCTCATCTCCTTCCAGCAGCTCCCAGGGATGCTCGGGTTAGGCAGGGCTCGCAGCTCGCTGTGTTGCTGGCAGCTTTCCTCTGCGTCCTGCTTCCCTTCCTCGGCGTTACAGGGGTGGAGGAGAGGCAGGGAAAACCTGCCTGCTGCTCCAGCTACGGGACAGCCCAGCACCTCCCCAAGGACCAGCACCTCCCAGAGGGCAGCCAGGTTTCTGGGGTGGGCAAACCACACGGCCGGGGGCCATCGAGTGCTTTGGGATCTGGCTGGAGGGGAAGATGTGAAGTGGCAAGAAAAGGTGTTGAGAGATAACCCAGAAGATGCTTCCTAAACTTTCTGCTCTGCTGTTGGCTCCAGAAAACCAAGAACCGTCTACCAGGAAAACCACACCAGCTGGATGTACGGAGTATCCCCCAAAATTGGTGGGCTCTGCGCCCACCGCCCCGTCTCCAAACATCATCCTTCCCATGCCTGGTCCCTTCGGGCCGATTTTTCCTCCTTCCCACCTAGAAAACCAGCCCAAGCAGCTGCCACCCACCCCAGGTCCCCGTTTGGGAAGCGCAGCGCCGAGCCCTGCTGCCAGCTCACCAATTCCCCGTGCTGCTCCCGTTACCCCCACAGCTGGCAGCCAGCAAAACCAGCCCAGCTGCTGACGTGGTGCTTGGCTTCCAAGTTCCCTCTACTTCTTTCTTCTCCCCTCTCCCAGCGCCCCCCTCCCTGCCTCGTAATCCCCAGCAGCAACCCTTCCCCCCCAAAAAAAAATTTTGGCTCGGCCCAGCCCGCTGTTATTTTCCAAGCCAACTGCAGCCATAATCAGCTCAGCCTCTTTCCTTGGGGGTATTTTAATTTATACAAAAGTATCATCTCTTATCATGATCAGCCTCTGATTCATTTACTCCTCAAGTATTAAAAAGCCAGGAAGGGAATAAATTCAGCGCACAGAGAAATTAATGCGGAACGATGGGCTCTTTCATGTGGCATTTTCGAGCACCGCTTTTGCGACGGGCTTATGTAATGAGACATAATTATCTGCACATGTTCAATTACATTACTTCACAAATCCTCCCTGGCTCTGCCCCATGACGTCAAGCTGCCCGCTAAGCCCCGGCACCCGACGGCGCGGGGGGCGCAGCCCCCATCCCGCGGCCCCCTTCTCCTGCCCGTCCTCCACCCCGGGCTCTCCCCAAAAGCCGAGGGCCCCGAGGTGGCCAGATGTAAGGTGCCAAATGGCAAGACCCAGGTGGCTTCCTCGGAGGGACTCGAAGGGAGACGCGGCGGGGCGAGGCGCCCCGTGGTTGGCGGCCAAGGCCCATGTTCTGCCATCCCTGAACGAAAGGCAGAGGCAGGGAAGGGCTGGAGGCTGCGAGGAAGCTCTTTTAATGCCTCCTCGTGTATCGCGTCTCCTCCTCGGCGCCTTTGTTGCAAACTGACAAGAAGCCACAGATGCTGGCTGGCGGAGCCGGGAGCTCCACGGGCTTCCCTCGGCCGCCTCACCGCGGGCGGGCACTTTTTTGGGGCAACTCATGGAGCTGCAGGGGCGAGCCCAAAGCCAAAACAGGGACCCGACCCCTTTTCCCCACATACACACCTCTCCCATGCTCCATGGTGCTGCCGGGGTGAGCTGAAAGCCTAAGCAGGACCTTCTCCTCTCTGATACCCTCTCCCAACCTTCCCATCGGCTACGTCCTCACCAAACCACAACGCGGCACCCGCCACCATCCTGCCCAGCCCAAGACCACCCCGCCCGGACCCTCGTCCGTGGCCAGCTGCCCCCTCCTCCCCTTGCCACCCCGGCCGCCTCCACCACCAGCAGCAGCCCCTGCGCCAGCACGGCCTCCTTTTCCAGGCTGCCCTCTCCTCTCCCAGCTTGCTGTCACCGCCGCTGAGATGGCGGACGATTGATCTGAGAAATGAAGTTGGATTGCTGTCCCGAATCTACACTCGGTTCTCCTTGTGTGTGTCTGATCGATTTCACCCTGCACGACACAGCTTGTCGCTACGAATTTTCATGCTAGTCAGAGCCCGCCAGCGCACCCACCAACAAGGAGAAGATGCTTCCAAGCCCTCCCTCCCCCTCGCAGCCTCCCCCGGCCCGCTTGGGCGAGGTTTTCTTGGGTTGCGCTCATTTTTTCCCCCCTCTATTTCTCCTTCTATTTACCATCATTATCACCATCAACCCCATCACCACCGTGCTTTCAACGCCCTCCCCGCTCGCCCGGCCCGGATTTGGATGCTGGCCAGGACGGGGCTATTTTCGGGTGGCCACCCCGGGACGGTGCCATCGGCCTCCTCGGCACGGAGCTATCAGCGGGTTGGGGTGCTCGTGGTGACATTCCCCACCGCGGTTACGCGAGGTGTCACCTGTTTAGCAGCTCCTCGCAGCCGCCCGCATGTGGCCGCAGGTGCCGCGCCAACGCTGATGGGCTGTGACAGTCCGAGACGCCAGCTGCCTGCACACAGCCTGCCCGGCCGCCACTTTTTTTTCGTGGGCAGAGCTCTGCCGTCGGCGTGACCGATACAGAAGCAATAAACTAGGTGACCGGAAAAGCAAAGACAAGTCCTACTAAGTGGCATTCTGAGCCCTATGGCTTTGAAATAATTGGTAGCGAGAGAACAAAAATGAAAAAAATAAAAAAATAAAAAAAAAAACAAGAACCCAAGCCTATTTTTTTTTTTTCTTACACTGATGCCCTGCGGACTATACATCTGACTTGCTGCGAGTCCGTCACTGTATCCTCCTGTCTGGCTGATAACATGGCGAAGGGTATCCACCTAAACAGACCAAGGACAACAAAGACACAAATTAGAGGGAAGGAAAGGTCAGTGGGCAAAGCCGCTTCGCTTCATCTTTGGCATGGCAAAAACAGAGCAGTAACAACAGTCATAAAGGTGCGTGTTTAAAGAGGGAAGGGGGAAGAACCGCGGCTGGTCTCAGGGTGAGAGCCAAGCTGAGGAGAGCTCCTGCCTCCCTCGCCTCCCCCAGCCTGCCCCAGTGGCCTCGTCACGCTCTCGGTGGTCCCAGGTCTTGTGAAATGAAGAGCAGGGAGGGAGAACAGCGTGGCAGGATGCAGTCGGACCTCCTGGAGCACATCGCTGCATCCAGCTCCACCACCGTGCTCCAGGAGCCGCCTTCCTCCCCCTAAACCCTTCCACCCTTTGGCCCCAAAGCGGCGAGAAGTTGACATGGGTGGAAGGAGATCTTCGGGGGCCGGGCGAGCCCTTTCATTTCAACTCCTCCTTTCATTTCGGAGGGCCCCGAGAGGGATATACCTACCATGGCAAGGGCACCGCCAGCTCTCCTCCGTGCGCCCCGTTCCTCTCCCTCCACTACCCCAGCCCAGCCCCGCTACGTGCGGTGAGCATCTCCTTGCCCACGGCTGCGTCCAGCACTGCGAGGGGAGCGACCTGGGCTTTAGCAAGCTCTCCTTGCCCGATGCAGCAGTGGCCGAGTGGCTGTCGTCTCTCAACACAGTACAGAGCTTAAACGCCAGAGGGTGGGCTCGTGGCACATCTGGACATCGGATGGGAAGTGGGAGATCTGGGTGAGCTACCGGCTACTCTGAATTCTTTCTTTTTGCCCAAAAGCATGGGTTCACATCTCAGTCACGCTGCTCCAAGCTCCCTCGCACTGCCTTGCTGGTGTGTACATGGGTGGTGTGAGTGCCTGCGCTTCGGGAAGGTGGGCAGTTGATGAGGGATGGCTTTTAATTAAAAAAAAAAAAAAAATCTAGCTGTGTATTTGTGCATTTCTTGCCTTTGCAGCAGACACCTGGTTCGGTATCAAAGGAGTACGTGGAAGCCTTGGAAAACGAGACACCAGTCCAAACCTCTGGCCCCTTCCCTTGGAAGAATAAAGCAAGCAGAACCTAAACCTCATCTGCTTTTGGTTGAGTACATGCCTGTTCTCCTAAACCTCCTCTCCTCCTAGTACGACTATCAAGCCAGAGCCAAATGCATTCACAAAGTGTGGGCAAGTCTCCTCAAGACCATGGTTGTTGGTTTGGTTGGGTGTTTGGTTTTGGTTTCTTTTGGATTGATTTTTTTTGGTGGTTGTCGCTGTTGCTTTTTTTTTTTTGGTTGGTTGGTTTTTTGGTTTGCTTTGCTTTTTTTAAGTGTTGGTTGGTTCATTCGTGCTGGTTGAGATTTGCTCTTTTCGGACGGGAGGGAGAAGTGCCAATACAATCAGAGGCTCCTCCAACACTAATGCATTCACTGGCAGTACATCGGATGGGTCCCTACCTGTGACTGCACGTTGGCTCCAACCTGGGCCCCTTGGTAAGAATCCCCATTGAGAGACTGCACGCTCATGAACAAATCTCCAGAGTTTGACATGTTAAAAGAACTGGAAGAACCTGGAAAGGAAAGAGTGAGGCACCTGAATCACAGAAAGGAAAAAGATCCACCCCATGACTCTCAGCCAAGAGGAAGGAACAACATGCAAAGCAACCACAAAAACAAAACACACAGTCAGGTTAGTAGTATGAAGAACAGAGCAAGCAAAAATTAAAAAAAAAAAAAAAAAGGGATGCACTCTTGAGGTTATTCAAAGCCACATGTTGTTACAGCTCAATGCCAAGAACATTCTTCAACAGCTCCTCAGCTGGAGGAAGGATTCTTCATGCTCTGGACCGAGATAAACAAAACCCAGCCTGGAGGACTCAGACAGCCCTTTCCCTTCATTTCAGGGCATCCAAATCCTTCAGGCAGCTTTGCAAATCTCGATTTTTCGGAGGTGTCCACCCGGCAGACTGCACTGGAGAACGGAATCACCCAAATAAGCCCCGCTGTCGAAAGCAGAAGCCTTTTCAGCAAGGCTAACCGTGCTGCCTTCCGCAGGGTGGACACCTCCAGACACCATCCAGTTCCACGTCCAGAGCTCCCGCTGAGCCAACGGGAGCAAAGGGCCACAAAAAAATGTGAAGGCACCCGGGCCAGACTCCCTTTATTGATCTCTTTGGCAGCTCTTTCCTCATGACGAGCTATGAGACAACGCGGGGCTGTCTCAGCCCCAGTGAGCTCCGTAAGCAAATTCCCCACCGCATGCACCAGTCGCCAGCGTTACACCAAAAAGAGGTAACGGTGAAGACAACTGGGTGGGATCAGGAAAAAAATAAATAAGTAAATAAGAAAATAAAAGGTCCCGCTTGCAGATTTGAGATAACTTGAGCACCTCCTCGACTGCTGGACAGAGAAAACAAACCTATCATGTAACTGGAAGGCAGGGGAGGAGGGAAGGGGTTAAAAATAAATAAATAAATAAAGGTTTTACGGGATTATTTCAGAACTCATCGTGCAGATCAGCGCGTTAAGTGTGAGACAGCTCAACGTGCAAGGTTTGGTTATATACATGACGTTAGCCTTGGAAAGGAGAGACTTCAGGGGCCCAGGTCAGCTACGCTTTCGGCTCCAACCCAAAATACGCTCTCAGCATCTCCAGCGCCACTTCCAACTCGGAAGAACGGCGACCACAGTCCTGGTGGAATTGCCCAACTATGGCTCATGCGTGCGCTCTGAGAAAGGCCAGACAACCCCCGTCTCCTCGCTGGGACACGCTCTGGACAGAGCCCAGGAAGGTTCCCCCGATGGGAGCCACCTCCAAGAGCAGGGAGCAGGTGGGAGGTCTCCCCCGGAGAGTGCACGTCCCCTAAAATCTCTGCTGCTCTCTCTGCAAACGGCTCTTTTACCGCGTGCTGGCAAATCTCGGAATGGAAGGGAAGCAGAAATATCACAGCTAGGTACAACGCCCGGGATAGGCGAGAGAAAGATTCATCCCGAGCACATCCAGCCTTGGATCAGGACCCTCCTAGCGGTGCCTGGAAGGAGCAGAGCCAGGAATAGCTGCGCTGTCTGTGCTCCCTGTCAGCCCTGCCCGGCACATTTCAGGGAACGACCCAACAGCGCTGCGTCAAATAACCGGGACGAGGCAGAAGGCAGCTGCAACCATCGCCTCCTCTGCTCGGCTGCCAAAGGGGCCCTGTCACTTCCCAGCCTCTCGGGTTGCTCGCTGTTTTAAAGGCAAAAAATCGATAGGAAGCAGCTGGCAGGGTGAGGATATCCCACGCTGACACCTGAAAGCACGAGGACGGGGACTTTTCACATACACAAGGATGCTTCCTACCAGGTTCTCTGAGTGATCTCTTTAAAAACCCAGAGCTGCGTGATGGCTTTGTGCTCCCACAGCGGCTGAGAACCAAAGGGTTTTGCAGTTAATCCTCGCAAGCAGCAGAGAACATCCTGCTGCTCTTTAAAGGTGAGCAAAACCCCTTTGAGATCACACAGACGATCAGCATCAGAGCTGGGAAGAGGACCTGGGAATCCCCGAGCACCTGACAGGACGCCACCATCACTCTGCCCCTGACAGCAGTATTTCATCCCACCTTCCCCTACCGAAATAAAATAATAATAACAAATAAAAACGCCGTAAACGTAACCGACACTTTGCAGGAACTTAACAAACCTGCCTGGAAAATTGAGACTGGGAGGGAGGGAGGAAATAAAATAAACAAACAGCCACGAACTCTGGTCCTGAAGAGCGCCGGTGTCTTGGAAATCATGAGGAGCGCCGGAGATGTCACTTACAAGATATACACTGCTATTGGCACGGGGTGTTTTTACAGTATATGTGCATATCTAAATGGCAAATGCGCCTTGCTGCTGATGCGGATGCAAAGATAAATATGCGCATAGCAATGGCCCGCATGTATGGATGCGTTTGTGTCAGAGCCGTAATTGCAGAGAGCCCTGTGCGCTGCTGTTTCAGCACTCTGCTGCCTGTGTACTAGCCATGTATGAAAATTACGATGGCCCAAAGTCTCGGAGACTCGGCTACGAGGGGCTGGTGCACTGGGGCAGAAGAGGGGGCGAGGATGTGAAGAGCTCTCAGGCTGCAGGCACCGGTATCCTCCCTGGAAACAGGCTCGGGGAACACAAGGCACATCCTTCTGCCGGAGAAGGCTCCGTCATCAATCTCATTTATCTTTCTGCTCCGCTGTAAACACACCGAAGCTTTTTAGTGGTCGCAGTTTGATCTCCTTGAGACCTGAGATGTGATAAGCACCTTTCAGCTGGTGAGCCCAGGCTGCGACCTTGGCACAAAGTCCCTTGATGTAGACAAAAAATGCCCGAATAAACACCGCTTGGCATGACTTGTAGCAGTGTGAACCAGCGGATCATTTTCAGCATCCTCACATCTTATCAACCTCAAGACCTATCACCATCACTCCCTAGTGCCGAGTTCCCATCAGGGCAACACCAGCTCCAGAGAAAGAGGCGGAAATGTTTAAAAAGAAATGAGCCATGGCACTTGCCACTGGGTGAGAGCCTACATCAAAACCATGCCAGCAAAGAGATCTCCTCCACTCCTATCACTTAGGATGAGCACAACACACGGCGAGTTTGTTTTCAATTCAAAAAACCTCACAAGCTTGATTGCTGGTATTTCTTGCACCACTTCTCCAGAGAGCTTCTTCTCCAGCTTCTCGATGCCTTTTCTCATGTTTTAACAGTCTCATTTTCCACCTTAAATTTTCCAGGACCTCTAACAAGTCCTTTTTCTCTGAAGTGTCTTACGATTTAGAAGGCATCAATAAACCGTAATAGTGTTCATCGGAGCTGAAATCAAACCACCTTCATCTGCTGCCTCATTCCACCTACCACCACCGAGGCAGAGATCCAGCACAGAGAGCCACTGAAGTCAACTTTTCACAAAACAAAAAGGTGAGCAGGAAAAAAAAAAAAAAAGTTCAGGATGATTTCGGCTCCTCTGCACGGAAGATTTCAGTGGATGTCATCACCTGTGTGTGGTCCTCCAGGACTCTGGTTGGCAAAAGGGGCAGCCCACATGAAATAGCTTTCATTTGCCATGTGGTTTTTGTGCTGAGAGTGTCCAGACAATCAAAGTGAGGACGGGGAGTTGTTAGCCCAAATGAGCCAGACATCTCGGCTTATTTGAACATCTGGCTGATCAAGCCCAACTGTGCATACTCAGGATGAGAAGGTGTTTGACATTCAGGCCTGGGTGACCGAGGGTGGGGGACCCTGCTCCGAACGTGCCAGATGGCCGGCCAGATGCAGCCCTTGCCCTTGTCAATGTGTGGCCAATCTCTTTGACTGACTGTAGCCATTCGCCCATCTCCGGTATCAGTGGTCATCAATGCAGAGAACAGATGGGCCTGCCCAGCCACGGCAGAAATGAATTTAGCTCCTGTCCCAGGTCCCATCGCAGCCAGTTCCACCTCCTCTTCCAACACCACGGCCCCCCAGGGACTGCATCGCTGGTTGCCTCTTCCTCATGACCTGTCCTCTGCCTACTCGCTTTCTTCCCATGTGCCCTGCCACGTAGTCTAAACCTAAAAATTCCCAGCACATCCAGTCTTTGTTCAGGCTCCTTCTTACCAAAGTCTCAGCCAACGAACTGAAAACGGAAAAAACAATCCACGGTGTAAAAGGAGAGGGATCAGCCACCTCAGTCCTTCACCTCTTCACCCATTCCACGTGCCTCCCAGTGCCACGTAGCACACCTGGGTGGCTCACAGCCCTTGACAGCATCCTCTAAATCTTTAGCTGATGGATATTTCAGTCCTAGCACGTACCCGTGTGCTTCTTGCTGCTAGCACCTTCAAGCCAACCTGAAGGAGGGACGGTCACAGGCCTCCAGGTGTCATCAGGACGTGCCTTCGCCCCGCAGCGTGATGTAGCGCAGGGATGCTCGGCTGAGCCGTCACATCCACACGGCTCCGCTGGGGAGATCTCAACCTGGGGTGCTGCTGTTGGAGATAAAATCCCGAGGTCCTTCCAGCTGTCTTCTCAGGAAGGCTACGAGGACATCCAGTGCCACCACCTCTGCACGCTGACCCAGAGGCTGTCGGGGCACTGCAGGGTACAGGGAGAGCGGTGGCACCTGGCTGGCTTGGAGACCCTTTGCTTCTACAAGAGAGGACCTTTCATGGGCTGACGTGCTGCTTTAGCACTGAGGGCCCTGAAAAGAGGACGGTGTTTCTGGAGAGCAGACGAGTGAGCCAGAAAGAGGGCCCAGGAGCTCAAGCCGTCGGCGTTAATAACAAGGCCGTTTGTCCTTCCTTGGAAGCGCGGTGTTATCCAGGGATTATCTGAGCCGTTTACTGCGGGGTACCAGCCAATTTATCTTCCAAACGGCCGTGTTACTGCCTGTGGGGAAGTCGGAGGAACAGACTCGCACAGGAGCACTATTTAAGCGGGGAAGTGCCTATTGCACTACCCGTGGGCCAGATCCAAACCCATTTAACTCATCCGAAGCGTCTCCCTCGCTATTCCAGACCACTGGCTCTGACTCCTGGCAAAGGAAGAAAAGGAGCGAGGCTGCGGCTCTTCGCTCCGAGCTGATGTGCACTGCAGGGCAGCCTCACACGCAGTCGGCATCTCCCTCAACACGCAATTCTGCTGTCCTCCTCCCAGCTTTTTTATGCCGGGGGGGAGTTAGCCATTTCATCAGGTGTTTTGAGTGAGCTGTTTGGAAAGGATGACATTTTGAAAACTGCTGCTAAATCTTCTGCACTTACAGCAATGAAAGGAAGGAAAAAAAAAAAAAAGAATGAAAGCAAATTCCTGCAAACCATCTGTCCCTGCCAAACTCTGCATCACCCACCCGAGCCCCCCGAGAGCCTCAGCCGAGGCAGAGCAGGCAGCACAGCCCGCTGACGGGGGGCTGGAGGTGGGCAGGACGCCTCCCTGCAGCATCTCTGCCCCCAAGCTGCCACATCTCGCTTCCTTCCCCTTAGCAGCCTACCAGCTAACAGCACGTGTCACCCCCTGGCCGAAGGGCACCGCGAGCAGACACCGAGCTCAAAGGCACGAGAGTGACCCCCTCCCACTCTCCCTCCCACCCCTAAAAAGAAAAGAGGCACAGAGATATTTATAGGGATGATCAAATGCATGGCACCCGTGAAGTTCCCCCTTTTTTCTTTTTTTAATTCTTTTAATCAGGTCCCAGTTGTCCATCGCCCCTGGGAGCTGGGCACAAGCAGCACAGAGCATGCCGACCGCCCCCTGGGATGGTTTTGGGGTCGGGTTTTGGGGTCGGCCGTCCTCGTGGCACGCACCACGGACGGACTGAGCATCCTCGTTCTCTAGCGGAGGAGTTGAAATCTGGGCAAAGCGCTTTGTGCCTTTGACCCTCAAAACAAACGAATGGAAACCACAGCAAATGGGCAGGAAAGGGGGAAAGGGGAGGGAACAAAGCGAGCCATGGATTTCCCCTGGGTCGTACTGACACAAAGGGAAAATAAAATTCACACAGAGCACACTCTTGCAGGTGATCCAGACATTGTCATGTAAGCAATCAAAGGTAACCACAACAGAAAGAAAACCAAAGGATAAAAGTTTACCCAAACAACCCCCAAAATGGCATGAGTGACGACATCCCAGAAATATTGGGCTTCCTTACATAGGGCCACTCATGCTTTCAGCCCCTACTGAAACAGAACAATTACACAAGGACATTTTCTTTCTTTTTTTTTTCTTTTTTTTCCTCCCCCCAAACAATCCCATTTGTGTGTTTTTTTTCAGATCGTTTTTCTGCTTTTGTGTTTACCATCCATGCACGTAACACCCAAGACATCACCGTCACTCACACGGTCTGATCACATTGCTTTTCGAACAAAAACCAGAACAGAGAAGGGGAACCAAGAAAAAAAAAACAACAACAATGCAATGAAAATAAAGTGCCCCCCCAAAACAAACCCCAAAACCAAACCCATCTCTTTTTTTTTTTTTTTTAAGACCACAAAAATGAACCAACCGAAACCAGAAAACAAAAACTGAAATAACCCAAAGGAGAAAATGAGAGTGATTAGAGGGAGGGGGGGAAAACAAACAAAAAAACAACACTAACAACCCAAAATAAACAAAAACAAAAACTAACCAGCTGAATTGGGAGTTGAGGGTGAGTTAGCCTGGCTTCCATGGGCTGACACATTGGTAGCCGTGACAGCCGTTTTGGCAGCATAAATATTGGCTTCCTCTTGAAATTTACCTATGTTCTTCTTGTACCGGATTCTCTTATTTCCAAACCAGTTTGATACCTAGAGCGAGTTTGAGAGAAGACAAAGACGTTAACGTTTCTGCTCTGGAAACTGCGGCTGGGTGAGGAATGAGGATTAGTTCAGGGTAAGCAGTGCATCACCTTCTTTTTTCCCCAGTTTGATTAGCCATGGGGGAGCACCTTCTACCTGTGCGTGCCATCCCAGCCCCTGGAAAGACAGCGGGACCCTCCTGGGATCACCACGTTTGTGCGGATACATCTCGTTCCTCTGCAGATCGGACTGCCATCGAGGGAACCCTCTATGGGAACTGCTAGACCCACCCCACAAAAATATCAGATGGGTTTTAAAAAAAATGAGGAAGTCCTGAAATTGCAGGATTTGAAAATGAGCACGGTTCTTTTTGGTGCTTTGTATTTGCCTTCTTCACAGCATCCCCTCGACAGGGCCAGCAGTGCAATGTGCTTCCTCCCTCTCTTCCCAGATGCATTTTCTCCTCCTTTTAGAGAAGGAAAAACACTCGGTGAATTTACTCAGGCCTGGCAGATGCACAAAATTGCCTTGATATCATCTACGCTCCGCTTTTTGATCCATCGAAGTGAAATCAGCGCAAAATGCTGGAAGTGAATGCTTTTCACCCAGCCGAGCTCTGCTCTCTGTGATTCAGCAAGCTGAGAGCTAGCCTGGGAGCACGGAGCACCTTCAGGGTGAGGCTGCACGGGGAGCATGGGGCTCATCCCAAGACCTAACATCAGTCCCAGGGAAGAAATGTGTCCCTGCTGGGTGTCTGGATACACATCCCGAAGTCTGCATGTCAGCAGTGCAGCAAAGATAGCAAATTTTGAGGCTGTGCAAGCAGGCGGAGTGCCCAGCCAGAGCTGCTTCACTGGGGAAACCATCAGGTTACTTCCTGAAGCACCATGAGCTCTGCGTTCCCCAAATCAGCCCTGCTGCTGCTGAACTTGTTCATTTGTGGCCGCTACGTCGCAGTCAACAACTCCAGAGAGGTGGGGAAGATTCAGCCTCGAGTTTGGGATGCCGCTCTCAGCTTCTCTGATGACACTGGACATGGGGAAGCAGGGGGATGTCTTCCTGGGTACAGGTCTCAAAGCAGAAATCAACTTGCAGCCACTACTGATCTTGTTTTAGAAAGCTTAACAGGATGACGAAGACAGACAAATGCCAGAGGATGCTGTAACTGTCCCACAGGACCTCCACCCTGCCTGGGATTGCTTGGAGCTGGGACTCCGAACTGATCAACCCCATTAGTGGGACTCTGAGGACTTTCTCGCTTGCTTGCTGCTGAGCAGTGTCAATAACTGAACCCTGTAAGATTTATTCCTATGATGTTTTCTGTCTGCAGTGTCAGGTAAATGGTCGGACTTGATGATCTCGGAGGTCTTTTCCAACCTAAATGATTCTACGATCCTATAGAGTGCTCAGTGACTTCTATAGAGAGCTGGCTTCATCTGCCTATTTACCTGCTACTGAATTGCACGCACCCAATCCTGTGCTGCTGCAGTGCAGGAAAAAGAAATACAACACGCAGAGACCCCAGGGTGGCACAAGTAATAAATCAGCACTCCAGCCAGATCTGGGAGCGAATATTCAATGGCCCCAGGAGCAGGCACTGCTTGTCAGGAGCCCCGTTCCCCTGCTCGGCCCAGCTTCCTCACTAATGCCCACGTCCTCCTTCGCAGCCTCCCCACGTGGTTGATAAGCACAGCATTTCTCCTGGGCATTTTCTCTTGGCGAGGGAGAAGTTGTAAGTGCGAACAGATGAATTAAAAGTGAGAGAGGAAGCATCAGGACAGCTGTAGCTTTCCTGGAGCCAATATGTGCGGCCTCTCGCAGGTAACTCCGAGGAGAATCAGCGTTTGGGTCTTCTGGCACGGGGGATGCAGTCGGAGTCACTCAGCAGGCATTCAGCACAGTGACGACACCTACCCTCGGATGCTGCTGCTCCTGCTGAAGGCAGACATGCTCTCACAAGGACACCAGATGCTACTGCTGTCTTCAGTTTACTCAAGTGATGAACAGGCATGTGCCTTGGGGCTGGAAAGAGGCCCAAGACGAGGAATGCAACAGGAGCCTGGAGGGAGTGCTAAGCTCACACGAGGACAAGACTACCAGAGGCAATTCTCTGGCTCTCAGTCGTTCAGCTTACTCCAAAAAGTGAAGAAATGAAGAAGGGCAGGCCTGAGTAATGAACAGTTGAACAATTCGAGTACTGACTGTTCCCCTCACAGATCCCAGCAGCTCGCAGGTCAGAACAGACTGCAGGAACTACGTGGCTGCCTCAAATGTATGGAAATAATTCCATTTGTCTTCATCAACGCCTTTCTTTGAAGGATAGGCAAGTTGGGGAGATGTGATGCTCAGCAGCACAGGAGTAACAACAAAGAGAAACGACCTGGGGAAGCCCACCCTCCTTGGGCACAAACCACAACCATCAGCCTGTTTGACCCCAACCCTTCCCACCAGGACCTTGCTCCTTCAACCTCATCAGGCAAACTTTGCTCGACTCTTCTTACTGCCTTCAGAGAAGGGACTTTCAGCTCAAATAAGCTCTTCTTGCAAACCAGCACTGATTCCCGGAGGAGAAGACTGCTTCTTGCTGAATTGTTCCTGTGCTGTTAACCCCTTGGCTACACACACAGACCTTACTGTGTTAGGTCTGCATCCCTCCCAAGTTCTCTCCCAGACTTCCTTCTCCATCCCCAGCTTCATCCTGCCAAGACTGCTGTCTACTCTCCTATCCACTGCACTAGCCTGCCCTAAACCCATTTAGTAATTCATTGTTTCACACTGGGGAGGTCTGGAGTTCCCTTCGACATGTCAAGGTTTCCTTCAGCAGCCTTTGCTGTATTTCTGGGATCTCTCACCTGTGAGACTGTGATGCCGCATTTCTTGGCTAGCTCTTCTTTGGCTTCCTCACTGGGGTAAGGGTTGCTGAGATGGGAATAGAAATACTCATTCAGGATTTCCGTAGCCTGCTTGTTGAAGTTTCGTCTCTTCCGCCTTAGGGTGAAGAAAGAAGGAAAGGGAAACAGAAGGAAAAGGAAATCAGTGCCGGGGTCCAGAAACAGGAATGCAATTTTAGATGCTTTGACTTTCTCCATTTCCCTCCCTCCTTCCCTTTCTCCTGGATGCAAGGGACTCATGGCCAAGAAGCTTCCCATCTGCACCTTGCAGGTGACTACTCTCTCAACACCTTCCAAAGAAAGTCTCTTCAAATTATCACTGCATCCTTCAGCCTGCAGAAGTCTCTTAACACTGGCACCCAGCTCCCACAGCTGGGAAGGTGACTCCTGACACCTGGCTGCCCTGGCTGAAGATGTCAGCACTACTCTGCAAAGCTCTGTGCTGAGAAAGCAGCTGTAGATACTTCCTTGTCACATCAAAATGAGAAAAAATGGCACGGGCTGAATGTCTTGTATTTCTCTCCCCTCCCTTGCTGAGCCCCAAACTAAAGGATAAAGAGGATGAACAGTCCCTGGGGCTCAAGATCGGGAGCCCCTACCCTTCTAATCCTCCTCGATTCCCCCCTGAAGCTCAGACACCTCTCCAAGGCTGCGCAGTGGCCATGCAGAAAGGTGTGGGCGAGCGACCTTACCGCGCGTCCAGAAATCGGGAGCGCAAGATCATGACGGCTTCACACGTGCTTTGCTTCAACTGCATCTGGATGGAGCTGAACTTGCGGTGGATGATGCTCACCATCCGCTCGATCTCCTTCGGCGAGATGGGCCGGGTCCGGCTCTGCTCGCGCAGCAGGTTCATCACGTGGGTGGTGAACTCGTTGCATGCCTGGGAGGGCAAGAAAAGCAAAAGAAACCCCAGGATCGGAAGGTCATTCGACGGCGTCAAGGACAACACGGAGGCAAGGCAGCTAAGGAGGGAGATGTAGGGTGAGGCCTCGACGGCCAGGGTTTGCTAGGGCAGACCCACAGCGAGGGGCAGCTGCTCTCACCAGCCATGCAGAGGGACCAAGAGACCCCCAGAGCACACAGAGCAAAAGGCAGGAGCCAATATTTTGCTCTCAGAGATCACAGATGGAGCTGGTGCTCATAAAGCTCTGGAACCCATAAAGAAGTCCCAGCCCTTATGATTTTTCTGGGGGAGCTCCAGCTGAATGAGAGGGCCCCCAGCCTTTCAGCCCTTCGTGCCTCCTCCTGCTGCCCCAGCACCACGCGCCCTGCAGAGCCCCTCGTGCTTCCCACCGAGGCACAGCCCTGCTCCAGGCTCTCAGCACATCAGATGAGAAGTAAATAACGATAATAATTAAAGCCTGAGTGAGGCGGGAGCCCTGACAAGTAAGGGCAAGCAGGTAATAAGCCCAATTAGCTTGCTGCTGGCAGAGTGCTGCCTGGCTGCTCCTGCTGTCCCCATGCCACCTTGTGAGGATGGGGGGGGGATTTGGGGGCTGGATGAAGGCAACTTCATCGTTCTCTCCCTCAACTTCTCAAGGGCAAAACGGGATCCTCCAATTCCCAGAACCAGTCTGGGATCCAAGCCCCCAAACCAGGCTGAAAACAGCACTGGGACACTGATGGCCTGAGAAGCTTGAGGTGCTCCCAGGACATGGGCAGATGCTGTGGGGACAGAAACCCCATTTGCCACCCCATGGTGGGGAAAGAGAGACTGGAAGGGGAAGGAGAAATTGATTTTGTGGCCCGGCCCCATTTCTGGAGCATCTTGGTGGTAAAAATGACTTTGTAAATGGGTTGTGAGAAGGAACGAGCCAGGGGAAGGTGCTGGGGGAGACGTGGGTGCATCAGGGTCCACTTGGGGGGCAAAACCAATGCAGATCCAAAATCAGAACAACAAAACAAACCCAAAAAAATATATCTAAGAGGAGGAAGGAGCAGGAACGCCCTCCCCAGAGGCTGCCCTGGGCCCCACCATGGCAGCAGGGCCCTGGCCGTGCACCCAGAAAGGAGGGCTGCTTTCTTGCTCGCACTCCATAAACCCAAACCTCCGGGGAGAAGCCACATTCATCCCGAGGGCAAGGCGCGCGGCAGCGAGGAGAAGTCTGCACAACATCTGGAAGCGTTTGAAAGAAAGCGATTTGGAGCTTGGGCTTGCAAAAGCTTCTCATGCAATTGTCAGTGTTACTAATAGCTGCATTCATGACCCAAATAGTTTTTCTTTTCTTCTTCTTCTTTTTTTTTTTTTTTTTCCAAGAATCATTTGCCACAAAAAAAAAAAAAAAGAAAAAAGACCCTTTTTTTTTTTTTTTTCCTTCTGGAAAATTAATTTTTGAGGCAGAAGAAATGCTCAAGAAACGTTTTGACTCAAGCTTTGCTTTAGGGTGCTTGGAAAACTGCCTGCACCACGACCAGCACCTCGAAGACGAGTCCTCCTCTGACAGGGCCGATTTCGGGCAAAATGGTGAGGGAGGAGGGAAACTGAAAACCAAGGGGGGGGAACACATGCCGAGCCTATTTTCACAGCCCATCTCAATGCAAAAAAAAATATGAAAGGGTTCTCCCAACCCTAAAAAAATCACGTTTTCGCTGTACCACAAAGCAACAGCTTGTGTTTGCCCGCGCACTCCCAACAATAGATGTCAGTAGCGAACCAGGCTGCGCGCATCCAGCTCGGCATCGGCTCCACGTCCCCGCACAGCACCCCGAGTCCAGCCTTTGAGCCTGTTACCTGCTCGTACTTCTCCAGCTCCGTGTGGTAGATCTGCCGGATCTGGGAGAGTTTGGCTCTGTAATCGGAGTGCTCCACCGAGTTGTCAGAGCCGGCTCCTCCTGATGCCGCGGCGGCGGCGGCGGCGGCGGCCGAGCCTCCTCCTTTTTCGGGGCCCGCCACCCCCTCGGCCAGCAGCATGTTGTCTAACCGCATCAGCTGGGGGTCCGTGGGCTCCTCTTCCTGCGCTCCTCGGATGCTCAGCACTGCACGGAGACACAAAGGGAAGAGTCTTGAGTCGCGCCTGCTGGGGCAGCAAGGACAAAAGCAGCCCCGCTTGGTTCAGCTCACCCACACCAAGTGAAACAAGAGGAGATTTACCAAAATTTGCCCAAACGAGTGGCATGGAGCACATCCCGATCCATGCACATGATGGCAAGCTGAGAGGCTCTACTCCAAACCTCAGCTGTGCACGGCCTGATCCTGCGCCATCCACGTCAGCCCCCAATAGCAGGAGGAAACGCAGGGCCCAGGGCTGCCCGTGCCTCAGTTTCCCCCTTGTTAAATCAGAGGGCTAAAGCACAAGGAGCTGTTAGCCCCCGGAGGGAAAAAGAAAGCAACAAAGTATGGAATAAATTTCACTCTTTGGAAAACGCCTTCTTTTAGAATCTGGTCGTTCCAGCAAAGCCTAAGCTGTGCTAAGAAAAGGGGCAACAATAAATCAATCCTCACAAAATGACTTGCCAAGGAGAGAATTTTTCTCCCCTTTTTGTCCTCGCTGTTTCAATTATTGCTTCAAGTAAAAGTCATTCTCCTTTGAGTGCCTCCCTGTAAAAACGACATGGGAGCACCCCGACTGCTCGGAGCGCCGGGTGCCTGGCTGGAGCCCGGCTGGCGGCGAAGAAGAAGAGGGAGGCACGCCGCACAGATGCCACGAAAGCTTTCACACCCACATGTATTGATACATCAACGCACACACACGAAATCCTGGGGTTTTCATCATGTGGCAATGCCGTTTGGGTTACGCCTGCGGTCTGTGTTTGCACACACAGGCACGGGCTGTGGTTTCCACAGGTGTGCGCATCTGCGAAAATATAAAACAAACCCTTGACAAGCCAACAAAAAAGACATCTCCGAAGAGAAATGAGTTGTATTTCCCCGTCTCATCCGTCACAAGGACCCAAAGCACTGTGGAAACTCCTGCACATCCCTCACGTGCGCACCCGCAGCGGGGTGATGTTGCGGGGACTTTAATAAAGCTGAGCCTGCTTACACCTGGGATGGGTCCGACCCTTTTCTCTGAGCCCCTAATCTGCAGCAGAAGCAAAAGCAAGTGATTTTCACCATCCTTTAAAAAATACATCTGAAGGCAGTTGCCAATATGGAGTAAAACCAGATTGAGCCAAGCAAGGAGTGTGCTCCTCCTCAACCAGGAGCAAGCTGGAGAAGGACAGAGTTATCAGCAACATCACACAAAGTGAAAGGTCCTGTCGAGAGGTTTGGATAACGCAGGGTAAAAGAGCTTTTTAAAGTCCCAATCTCCTCTGAAAACACTGTTTTCAAGACTTTAACACTTATTGGCATTTTTGTGATTAAAACATTCACTGTCAACAAAGGAGGGAAAGTTGAAGGGGGAAAAGGGGAAGAAAAAGAAATAGCAGCAGTAAATTTGCCAATAAAATGAACTAATACTAAATAACTCCACACTAGGGATAATCGTGTATGTAAAGGGGGATGGCAGCATGGGGCCAGATCTGGATGCAGATGCAGATTTTAGAGCAGCCAGGTCCAGCATCTCTCTCCTCCGCGTGGCAAGACTAAGTCTTCCATTTAAAAAAATAAATCATTAAAAAAAAATAAACCATTAAAAAAAAAATCATTAAACAAAAGCACATCAAAAAGCCCAAATACAAATGGGAAGCAACACAGGTTAAAAAAAAATAATAATTAAAAAAAAAAAAAAAACAACAACCAAATAAAAAACAGAGTTGCCAAAACAGGTCCATCTGGACTTCAAAAGGGAAATATTTTTAGATTAAAAATCTCAGGAATCATTGACCTGACAGGTAGGCACAAGTGATTAATTAGTTTATGTTTGGAGAGCTGCTTGGTGATGAAAAGCACAGCGTAGCTGCTGCGCTTTGGTGCCACGCGGCACGAAGCACACGCGGGGAGCACAGGCGAATTTTGGTGCCCGTGTACCATCACCACCCTCTGGGGACACGTCCCCAAAGCAGCCACCAAAACGCCAGCAGGGCCAGGGACCCCAGGGAATTGACAGAGGTTTGGCTGGCCAGCTGGAATAACGCCGCTGAGTAAATAAATGAAAAGGGCAATGTGTCTAAGCAGAACTGATGCTGCCTATTTATCCCTGGAAGGCTGCTCTCAGACCAAATGATTATTTAAAAGCTCCTTTTTTATCTTCCCGGAGCTGCACCCGGCTCGAGAGCTGCTCCTGCCAGGGTGCCCGAGGTGCCACCCCCAGCCCCAGCAGGGGACCTGGTGCCAGCGGACCCGTTTGTCCCCCCTCGCCTCCCCTCTGCTGCTCGGGATGTGGTTTGGAGATGCCGCTTCTGCCGGCTGTCCTGGAAAGGGGGAGGCAGCCGGGACGGAAATCTCCATCCCTGGTGACCATCAGAAGCAGGCAGCGTTCAGCACGGAGGGGACAGGGACATTTTGTGGCCACACCGAGCCACCCCAGCACAGCTCCCGACAGACCACAAGCGTTGGCACTTGGCTCGCCCCTGCCCTGGCACGCAGCGCTCTCCATTTGCTGCTCCCGATTAAAGAGAGGGGAAAAAAAAAAGAAAAAAAAAAAAAAAAGAGATAGCGGCTGCAAGCGGGGGGTGCTGGGGGAGGAAAATTCATGCAAGACTTTCTGTCCTTGGCCGCTTTCCTGCTGGCTTGGCAGCCCCGAGAGCCGCAGCAAATGCCGCTAGAGGGTGCTCAGCCCTCGCTGAGGGCCCCCGCTGGCCCAAAAAGCGTTTTTGTACAGACGTATGTACACACACACACACACACAAATGGTATGTACATACATACGTGTTTTAAAATCAAAGCAGAACCACGCACCTTGTCCCCGTTTGCACTGTTGCAAAACGCTCCTGAGCTCGCCGCGGAGGGGAACACCGCGCACCCAGCACGGCCACCCTGTGAGCAGCACCCACAGCAGCACCAGGAGCAGCTGGGGACCACCACGGCCATATGGCCTGGCCACCAGCACTCCCATAGTCACAGAGACCTGTTCTCCTTTTCCTGCTCTCCCCAAAACCAGGCAGTGGCCTGGAGATATCACATCGTGGGTGAAGGTGACCCCGAGAGACCCATGGCGCACGAGCAGCACGTATCGCCGAGTCCCGTGCAGGGGGTCAGGCCCAGGTTTTCTCCTCGGGTATTTCCAGCAGCTGAGAAATGGCTCCCGGGCTCCCTCCTCTCTCTCCAGCGAGAATATTTCCCGGCTCCCTGCCTGCCCTGCTATTCCGGGACGCGGGATGGGAACGGCACGGAGTCACCGGAGCTTTTGGCACAGGAGCCAAGCACGCAGTGACCGCTCCTCACCAAGGCCAACGCTTCAGCCCTGCAGCTCTGCTCTCCCCCACTTCCAAAGCCTCCAGACCAGGGAAAGCCTCCACACCAAAACAATCCCACCCCAAAGAGAAACCAGCTGAGGGCTTTTAGTGAGTGCCCAAGCCGGGCTGCTCTCCTGGTGGCGGGTTCTGCCCACTCCCAACCTGCCGAATCGCCTTTCCAGGGGGACACATGAAAGGAGAAGGAGACTGCAAGTCAATGATTGCAACTTATCGAAAATAATGTGCTACTTAGCATCGGAGACAAGCATCCTGGCAGGCAGAAATGGGAAGCCGTGCCGGAGCAGATGGGAGTAATTAGGTTGTGATTTTCAGAAGGGTTTTCTTTCCTGCCTCCACTGTGCCTAAGATGTACCGGGGGGGGGGGGGAACAGAGACAGAGTTTCGGGAGAAGCGGCGACTCCTCGGCTGCGCGCTGGCCTTTTGCGTGACTTTCCCGCGGGGAAACGGGAGGCGCCTGGAGCAGAAGTGCCACTTGTGGAGCCCTGCTGCCTGCTCTCACTGTCCGCTTGCATAGGCACGGATGAGGCAAGATGCCTCCTCCTCCACCGAGACATCCGCTGCCGAAGCACAGGCACCCCACCCTTGTTTTGGGATGAAAAAGGTCTTGCCTGAATCCTTTCCTGGACCGGGATGTGCCACACGTAGGGCGATGGCACGACAACTCCGCCGGGAACGCAGGAGCTCCAGCATGCGCCCACATAGCAGCGTGTTAAACATCAACACGCTTCCTACCTCCTGCAATTTAAGCACCATTCACAACATTCGCTTGGGTTCCCAGAGCCCCAGCGTCAGGATTCACACGAGCTCACCGCTTTTCCTTAACGAAATGCTCCGGATCTGCAGCAACAGCCAGCGAGCAGCGGGCCAGCCGCGATGCCAACCAATGCCCCTGCTCACAAAGCCAGGAACGCAGCACGTTATTCTAAGCCATTATTCCCTGCAGCCCGATTCTACGTTTGCAAACATTTAAGATCAACAGCACTGAACCCGACACAAAGATCTTCCCGTCTGCCTGATATTTGAGGACAGTTAAAATTGCCAGGGCTTAACGCACTTAAGGGGCTCGTGGCTGGATGTCTCCTGCTCCTGTGCACATTCACACCCACGGCAGGGCAGCCGGGGTTTGCATCCTCAGCCGACTCCCTGAGTTGCTCTTCCCAAACTTTGCTGTTGCAGAAAAGCCCCCTGTGACCGCTCACCTTCCTAAATTCATGTGTGTTTTTTTTTTTCAAGTGTATTTGCAGCTTGCCTTCTGCATCGCAATGCAACAACAAACCCCCGACACAAAGGAAAATATCAAATTCCCCAACTTGGCAGCCCCGAAGCTTGAAATCCGGCATAAACCTAACGAAAGCTAACGCACCCACATCAACCACATGCTCCAAATACGCGTGGAAATCATCACCACAGCTTGGCCAACGTAGAGAGAGACATTACAGTGTGTAACTCCGTGTCTCGGCCCCTGTAAAATCCCTGCAAGAATCCTACAGGAGCCCTCCTCAATGCGAAGGGATGATGGCAAGGAGGAGCAGCCCTCCCCAGGCACAACCTTTCCACCGCCAAAATGTGGGGACTGTCCCCACCAAAGCTGAGTTTTGTGTTCTTGCTGCAGCCACTGACTTGGATTTTCAGTTTAAACACCTTAAGGACCCTATCTTCGGAGGGAATAAATACAC